TTTTATCCACACTTTCCCTTAATATATGCATTTATGTATGCACTCTTTTGCTGTGTGAAATCTGGAGAAGTGAGGCTTTTGAAGGAGAGCTGTGTTTTGCTTAGCATATTATTTGGGAAGTGCAAATTAAGTCTTTTTCTTTGGCGATCACTCATAGCCAAGTAAGATTGTCTTCCATGAACACGGTCTTAACAGTGAGTGTGGAGGCCAATTCTGGATTCACACATCCTTCCACAGTGGGGACATAGGTTTCTAGGCATGCGTTGATCACAGTGAGGGTATGCCAAACATGCCATTCTCTTATCATGTTTCTCCCTTTCGTTCTGAGTTCGAGCATTTTAAAAGTCCATGACACCTTTGGTAAAGGCTGTTCTCCAATTGGTGCGCTCAAAGGGCAGCGTTTCCCAATTGTCGGTGTTAATACAGTGGTACATTGGTTTAAGAACAGCTTAGTTTATGAACAACTTGGATTAAGAATGCTGCAAACTCGGAAGTAGGTGTTTTGGTTTGTGAACTTTGCCTTGGAATAAGAACATGTTTCGCTTCCTGTTGAATGTGTTCCATTTGTAAATTGAGTCCCTCACTGCTTTAGGAAAGCACACCTTGGTTTAAGAATGGACTTCCGGAACAGATTAAGTTCGTAAACCAAGGTACCACTGTACTACATTTTTTAAAGATTTGCCTTGAGAGAGTCTTTAAACCTCTTTTGTTGACAGGGCAAATTAAGTAGGCTTACATCAAAAGGTGAACCAAACTAAATTTCTTCCCTACTTTGCACCCACCGTTATGTTCAACTTGGACTATTACAAGAACTTAAACTATGGCCACATTTGCAACAAACGTGTAAGGCACTGTTATATCACTTTAAACAGCCATTTCTTCCTTCAAAGTATCTGTGGAACTGTAGTTTGCAAAGGATAGTTGATGTGAAACCAATTATTCTCTTGCAGAACTACAATCTCCAAGGTTCCCTGAGGAGAGGGATTCATTGTTAAACCACTTTGGGAACTGTAGCTCTGTGAGGGGAATAGGGGGCTCCTGAACAAATGACAGTTCCAGGATTCCTTGGGGAAACCATGATAGTGCTTTACATATATATTTAAAACCATATTAGTGCTTTAAATATATGGTGCAGGTGTGACCTATGTACCAGATCTAACAAAGATGGGGAAGCTGTGCTCCACCAGCTGTTGTTGAGGCTCTCACCAGTCCTGGTCAGCACAGTCCAGCAATGTCTGGAAAGCCATTTGTGATCTATAGCAACTTCTCTTTCATATTCAGATGGGAATTTGCATGGCGTGCCAGCAATAATTCAAAGAAAGAACCGCAGTTTAGTTGGATGAATTTTGAATCACGCAGCTTCTTAACGTGCTTCTGTGCCCCACACAGTTTGAAGCCTGTGTGGTGTGTGCTAATTTGGATTTGTAAAGTAATTATTAAAAGTCTTTGATATTTATAAGTGAGCCACAACTTTCCTGCCAATTAATTATTGATTCCCCCAATGAGTCAGCCCCAACAGTCTCAAATACATTTTTAATATTTTCCTGCTGCAAATAAAAATTATTTCTTTTAACTTATTATTATACTGCATTAGGCCTCAGTGACTTTTATGTTGGGAGTGCTTTGAATTTTAATTTAGAGCCTATTTTCTATGCCTTGTTTGTTCAAATGCTTAAAAAACTATTGTCTCACCAATGGGTGATCCAGCAGTAACCCAGATACTGGTGGAACATTGGACTACTCAGACTAGAGGTCTCTGTGTTTTATCACATACTTTGGTCTTTCATATCTGATTTTTCTTTAAAAAATAACTGGTGCAGGTTGGCTATTCACAGTTTGGGTTCATCCACACTGGCTATTTGCTAAAAAAAACAAATCACAACCCAACTTCGAAAGGTTGACCAATGTGACAAAGATCTAGTTTGGCCCATGTATAAGCTTGAGAAAAGGAAAGAATCCCATTGAGAATTTTGTGAAATTGGTGTCAGATTCATAGTGCATTGAAGGCAGGTGGGAAGGTAGCAGGGTGGCTATTCAAGCCACAAAATGGCCCCTTGAGTCTTTGACTTTGTCAACAGCCTTGCAATACTTACCTTATTTCATAGGTGGTGTTGCGGCTGGGCCCTGGGCTTCGCATGACCAGGCCAAGGGTCAGAGACTGGCGCTCTCCCCACCTCCACTTCCCCATGCCATTGGTGCTGGGCAGGGCCCCGCCTAAAGGGCAGGCCTCGCTGTCCAATCAGTGCTGACAGATGTGTCCGCAGGGAATTTAAACTCCAGCGTGGTGAGGAGGCCGTCCTATTGCACCCTTTGCTGGATCTCCCACCCACCTCACTCTCTTTTTTCTGCTTTGATGTATACGGCTTTGCTGTGGACTAAGGACGGTTGTCATGTTGTTGGAACCAGGCAGGAATTTTTCCACTTGGCAAATCGGCTCCACCATTTGGTTTTCGCCTGCCTCGTAGCAATTGTCACAACTTTGTGAGGTTAGGCCCTGGGTAAGCCTTTGTTGGGATGGAGGGGAGGTTGTAGCCTCTGCCTGCCCCTCCTCATTAAGGGTATCCTGTTAAAAGGTCCGGGTGTGTGGATTCTGTCTGATGCCCGGACAAGGGCTAGGGTCATACCACTACTCCAACGGGGATCCCTTGGGGTGCCCCTTTTTATGTAATAGGGCTTGCCTTATTGGTCATAGGGCTTGCCTTATTGGTGGTTTATCCTTAGTTGGACTCCCAGCAAATCGGCAGGAGTTGAGATATAGTCTGGCTTCACTGAATGCCTAAGCCAAAACGCTCACCTCTGTAACCAATAAATCTGTGGCCTATTTGAACCCATAAACCAAAATCCTCTTGTTTGTGTGCTTTATTTATCCACTAGGTGACTGCCTTCCCACACAATCATCTCTCCCAGAGGTGCAGCAGGTCAGAACACACTATTTTAAACAGAATTATATAGGGCACACTTTCAGGATCTGGCAGGATAAAAGACATCTTAATTTAAACTGCTGGGGAAAGAAAGAAGTCGCATATGTTATTTTAACAAGGCAGGAAAAGAATATGGCAATGAATCCTAATCAAAACATTCCTGGGTCCAGGTGTTGAGACTTAGATGGGTCTTTGGTCAATTAACCGACCCATTTCACAGGATCTTTGTAGTCCTTGGGGGTCCATTCTCTTGTTTTGTGTGTTATTTGGGGATAAGTTGTGTTTGTTGCAGAGAAAGGAAGAGTAGGGAATTTACTGTTTTTCGTACCCTGAATGCAGTCATTTTTTTTGTTTGTACTGACAGTGTAAGAACAAATACACTGATGAATCTGAAAATGGGGCAATACAGTTCTCATAGGCAAGAAAGAACACAGCAATATTTTATGTTGTTAGTTTATATTTATGGCTAATATTCTCAAGACCATAGCAGCTTCTCCATCATTTGAAGTTAGGCTTGTCATTTTAGAGGACAACAGAATACATTTTAAATAAAAATGTATAGTATAACTCAGCCCCATCCATCATATCTCAATTGATTGTATCAGCTATCAATACCATACTCGTTTATCAATCATAATGTTTGTGTAATGAGACTTAGGACAATACTTAACTGGGAGTACATTTAAGACCAGCATTTAAAACAAAGAACGATATAGACAGCCATTTTTAACACTCGTTTTTTGTAAGCACTCTGAAAACATAGACTCAAATAAAAACTTAAGCAACAACAAAAATAAATAAATAAATCCCAGCCTACTTTCAGAAAATGCTCCTGTTTTTTTCCAAAGCAATAATGTTTACCAATAAAAGAAATCATCTTTGGAACTGTGAATAGAGAAAAATGACAGGCAAAGATGTAATCAGAAAAAGCTGTAATAAAATATATCAAAACCTAGTCATCCAGGTGTTGCCTTCACACAGAATCGTAATTAATTCATGCTCTGTCTCCACTGTGGGCAGGAGAAAGTACATAAACAAGAATGTTTGTTTTCCACCTTCCAGACATTTTCCCTGCCAAATTCTAAATGAAATGAAATCAAAGCAGTTCTACAAAATTTGATTATGATGAAACTTTGAACACTACAACCATTAAGCATATGTTTCCTAAATTAAAAACTAAGTCATTGGCAAGCTCTGTTGACATGGTCAGCAAACTAGCCAATAAAACAGTGCCTAATTGTTGGGAAGCTATTCTAAGGAAAAGCATGGCACACTGACCACTTTTACGCACAGCTCTTTAAGAAAAAGAAAATTAGAAACGTCTGATGGGGCATTTAGAAGGCAAACAGCATTGCCAAGAAAAGTTTTGATAATCAGACACTATTGATAATGGTCGCATGGTCAAATATGACATGAGCAACTCTTAGATGGTGGAGCTTCCAAGGGCTTTGAACACCCTGAAACACCACAATCTTCACTGAGCTTGGAAAGATCTGTTTTCTGTGGGTGGCATTTCCAGGTAGAATCAAGGAGTTGGTTATACTAGGAGATGAGGTCCTAGGAGAACAGGTTAGGAAGTGAGATAAGTCAGAGGCAGGCAAGTAGAAATTAGTCTTAAAGTTCCAAGTCAGAGCCAAGGGGAGGATGTCTTTGTAGGACCTATCCAAGGTCCTGTAGCCTGACCACTCCTGGTACCCTGATGTACCGGCTCCAGCTGAGTCAGTGCCCTCCCCAAAACCTCTTGTGCTGTGGGCTTCCTCTTGAAATCAGGACAGGGTAATCTGTATCTCAGGGACCCACCATTCTGTGGAAAATGATGTTAACCATTTTCATCTAGACACCAAAGGTCCTATATTTTATCTAAGCACTTTCTATGACTTGTGGGGTCATAGAATCATAGAGATGGAAGGGACCCCAAACATCATCTAGTCCAAATTGCTGCAATGCAGGGATCTCAGCTAAAGCATCCATGGCACAGGGCCATCTAACCTCTGCTTAAAAACATCCAAGGAAGAAGAGCCCACAACCTCCCAAGGGAGTCTGTTCCGCTGTTGAAGAGTTCTTACTGTCAGAAAGTTCTCCTGATGTTTAGTTGAAATCTCCCTCCTTGTAACTTGAATCCATTGGTTTGGATTTGAGCAGAAGAAAACAAGCTTGCTCCATCTTCCATGTGACAGTCCTTGAGATATTTGAAGATGGCTATTGCATCTCCCCTCAGTCTCCTCTTTTCCAAGCTAAACATACCCAGCTCCTTCAATCGTTCCTCATAAGGCTTGGTTTCCAGATCCTTGATCATCTTGGTTGCCCTGCATGATATACAGTCTCCTGTCTTGGCTGCAGGTGGGAGCCCAAAGTGCAAGAGGAGGTTCTGGGGAGGGGCTTGACTTTCAAGTAAGTGTGTATATGATTGTGAAAAAGAGACACAAACTCTTCACATTTCTTTTCAAACACCCACTTTACTCATTTCTTTCCTCTGTAGCACCATCTTCCATAAGCTTTTGAAAGATTAACACATGAACCGAAGATGCTTCTAAGGTTGGGATAGAGAAGTTGTTGCCATCCAGATGCTACTGGACTCCAGTCATGCTGGCTGGGGCTGATGGAAGTTGGAGTCCAACCAGATGTGAAGGACCACAGGTTCCCAGCTTTGTACTAAGGCATATGTGTCCTTTGACCATTTTATTTCACCCTAGTAAATTATCTTGACATGGAATGATGCAGTCTTCATAGTGTGTGTGGCTGGCATCTTTAAGAGACATGCTTGGTCTGTAACAGAAACTACATCCACTCTCTTGAAACCTTAGTCTTACCTGTGTAGCTGCTATGTTGTGTTATTGATCTGTTCTTCCCCAATAAGTACAACTGTTGAAGTTTTCTTGACTCTTGTTGCTTTCTGATATTAGGGCAGACCCATTTCATGGTTTCTTCTCACAGTGAGTAACCTTCCCAAACCAACAGGATAATACAGTCTTTGTTTGAAAGAATCTCATATTGTACTATAAGGAGAATGTAACTTTGAAAACATTTCATTATTCACTCTTCAATTATCTCTTTAAAAAGAACTTGCATGTCCTTGCTCCTGGATCCAAGATGTGAGACATACGTAAGATGTGTTTTAATTTCGTGAAGGCTGCAATTTCATCAGTACAGAAATAAAACACTGAAGATGGGATCACACACGATGCACCCTTGGGTAAGAAATGTGAAAAACATCATTCGTTTTTCAGTGTTACATGTTAAAAAAACCCAAACCACTGTCAATGCCTCATTTTTAAGGTTCTGCTAGTCTTTCCTTATGACTTTGACATTTCTTTGTTATTGGATTGTAATAGCTTTTAAAAATTGCATGGATACTGCAGAATACGCAGTCAGTAAAACCGAGAATAGAAAATTGAGAACCAGACAAATGTCAAGAAACTAAAATAAGGTTCAACAAGAATTTGCTGTATTTAGCCCCCAAATCCTACTTCAAAAGGCATTATTAACAGAATTCCCTTTGTGAGGTAAGATTCTTGAGTTTAAAGAAGTGTTGCATTTGAGTTGCCTAATCAAGGAAGAGAGATGAAAGTATTTTGAGCTATCACATTGAACACACAATGATAGCTGCTTCTTTAGCCTCTTCTCAAAACAGTTTTGTTATACCCTTGACATCTACTATATCCTGAGCATATAAGGAGTTCATGAAGTTAAAGAGAAGAGAAAAAACTCTTGGTGAATGGGATTTTCTGAATAATGTTGATGGGCTCAGATTGTCTTTTCCATGAAAGGAAAATTATATCCGCAGTAATGCTAAGTAGTTAAAATGTATTTATTGTAGAGACGGTGAGAAAAAGCAAACACAGAAAGCAGCACAAAAATACAAGCTGGTGTCCCTTTTTCTCCTAGCATCCTACACACAGGACAACTGAGGATTCATCATCTAAGGTGGAGCTGGGTGGAGGGCAGAGAGGGAAGTCCATCTGGAGCAGGCTCTACAGCCATATTTGCCTGCTTGCCTCTCTTTCCTGGAATCCTTCCCATCAAGCACTTAATGCTAGAACTTGTGGATATCCAGGGAAGCTGAATGTCAGAAGATTCAGGACAGACAAAAGAAAGTACTGTGTCCAGAGCACAGTCCAGTCCTGTTGTGTTGGATGAGTTTCACTTGATAAGGCTCAAGGATGTGGACAAGGTGCTCTGATCAGTGAGGGTGTCCACTTTGGCTGATTTGATTGACATCCTATGCCCTTTTAAAATGTGGGTTTTTTTTTTTGGGGGGGGGTTATTGGGTTGTTGTTGCTTTTATTTTGATTGTATCTTTTGTGGTTTGATTTTATTCTGTGAACTTCCCCTGAGACCTTTGGATATAGGGTGGAATATAAATTCAATTCTATTATTATTGAATTGGAGGTTGGAGGGTGGATGGCGGCTAACAGATTGAGGTTGAATCCTGACTAGACAGAAGTACTGTTTTTGGGGAACAGGGGGTGGGCGGGTGTGGGGGATTCCCTGGTCCTGAATGGGGTAACTGTGCCTCTGAAGGACCAGGTGAGCAGCCTGGGAGTCATTTTGGGCTAACAGCTGTCCATGGAGGCGCAAGTTAATTCTGTGTCCAGGGCGGCTGTCTAGCAGCTCCACCTGGTACGCAGGCTGAGACCCTACCTGCCCGTGGACTGTCCTGCCAGAGTGGTGCATGCTCTGGTTATCTCCCACTTGGACTACTGCAATGCGCTCTATGTGGGGCTACCTTTGAAGGTGACCCGGAAACTGCAATTAATCCAGAATGTGGCAGCTAGACTGGTGACTGGGAGTGGCCACTGGGACCACATAACACTGGTCCTGAGAGATCTGCATTGGCTCCCAGTATGTTTCCGAGCACAATTCAAAGTGTTGGTGTTGACCTTTAAAGCCCTAAATGGCCTCGGTCCTGTATATCTGAAGGAGCGTCTCCAACCCCATCATTCAACCCGGACACTGAGATCCAGCACCGAGGGCCTTCTGGCGGTTCCTTCATTGCGAGAAGTGAGGTTACAGGGAACCAGACAGAGGGCCTTCTCGGTAGTGGCGCCCATCCTGTGGAACACCCTCCCTTCAGATGTGAAGGAAATAAGCAGCTATCCTATCTTTAAAAGACAGGGCAGCCCTGTTTAGGGAAGTTTTTAATATTTAATGCTGTGTTGTTTTTAACACTTGATTGGGAGCCACCCAGAGTGGCTGGGGAAACTTAGCCAGATGGGCGGGGTATAAATAAATTATTATTATTATTATTATTATTATTATTATTATTATTATTATTTACATAGCAAACATTCCAACAGAATGTTGGACTAGATGATCCAGTAGACTCTTCCTATGTTCTTATGATGGTCCTTTGAGCACACTCCAGTTAGAGCAGGCCCAGATCACTCCATCACCTGAATCCTACTCTCTCTCCATTCCAATGTCACCATCATTCCAACATCAGTCATGGAAATTTGTAAGGATAAAATAAAACAGACAAAAAGACATATAGGCCTTAGTGCAAGGATGAGGAACTTCTCATCCTCCAAATGTGGTTGGAGTCCAAATCTTATCAGTCCCACTCAGCATGCCCCATGGTCAGGGATGATGGGAGCTGTAGTCCCATCCAAGCAGTGCAAGATGGCACCTTATTTCTTAAGCCTGGAATATTATCATATTCATTTGGAAACTGGTCCCATTAAATTCAGGAAGAATCATTTCCATATTTAGGATCAAAGTGTAAATCTTTCAAAGCAACCCAGCAGCTACTGTCTCTAGCAAACTGTATGAAAATGTTACTGTGAAAGGTTTTATATGCCATTTAAAATATCCGGGTTATTAATCATTCCACTAATGGGTAAGCTGGAATAATTGAGGGTGAACTGTACTAATGCGTCTGTAATTTTTTGGTACGAGTGACAAGTCTGGCTGGAGTATCTCATGCTAAGTGTAGTTTTTGAAGAGTCAGGGAGCTTTGCCAAAAGCACATTAAAGAGGGAAAGGTATGATATTTCCTGAGTATCAATTCTTTTCCAGGAGCCAGTAGTATACTAATGTATTAAATGTGTAGTTCTGGCTTCCTTTCATAGCTGATTAAATGGATCTTAATAATTGTAGCCTACAAGAGTCAGAAAGGATAATGAAGAACTTAAGCACGGTGCCAGATCTGATATGATAAAGGCAGAACCCATGTATTTATTTATTTATTTATTTGTTTGTTTGTTTGCTTGTTGTTTTATAGATTAAGGATAGAAAGACTATCATATATGCTTGGGGTAAAATGAAATGTTTAGAATATCACTAAAGATATTGCTACTTACACATCTATTGAATCTCCAATATTGTTTGTAAATACAAACATTAGAAAGCTATCTAACATGAGTGCAAAATGATCAAGGAAGAGAATCTCCAGTTGTCAGCTTCTGAGTACAGTTATGTGCCTCAATTTCCTCATAGTTTTTTTCCATCCATCTGAAAATGCAGCCTAGAGTAATAAACCATGGAAGAGGAGTTGTCTCAGGTAAAATGTGAAGCTGAAAGCTTCTGAAATATGAAGAGAATTCTGGAAAAGAGTTGTATAGCTCAAGCTTCAGCAGAAAATTTAAAAAAGGAAGTGACGCGGACCTGTGTTCCTTCTTAATCTTTTACCAAGATTGCAGTGGTTCATGAAGTCTAATACTGTTCTCTGTCCTTGAATTGGAATACCACCTATACAAGAAACCATTTAATTGGGATGTTAAGTGTTTGATTTACAGGACAAATCTGTTAGGATTTTATCACTGAAGTTTAAAACTTGTAGTTCTAGACCAGGGGTAGACAACATGATGCTCTCCAGATATTGTTGGACTAAAACTCTCATCAGCCCCAGCAAACACAACCAGTGGTCAGGGATGATGGGAGTTGAAGTCCAGCAACAAGATCTGAAGCATCTTTCCAAGTCTGTATGTCTACCTACCTACCTATTTTATGATATCCATTATACTACCTTTCCTCTAACTCCCTCAGGGTGACTTATATGGACCATTTTATCCTCCCAACTATCTTGTGAAATAAATTAAGGATGAGAAACAATGAGTGGCCCAAGTTCTCCCAGTGAGCATTTTTCAGGAGAAGAAAAGGCTAAGGCATAAACTGTACCCAAATCTAGAGTGGAGTCCCTAAGATGGTTGGACGGTGTCATGTATGCCTCCTTCCAGCAACTACTGTAGCCAAGCTGCTGCCAAACATATTGCTCTGCTTTCTTTAGGACCAAATCAGTGAGGCCAAGAGGAGAGTCTTGT